TCTTAATAAACTTATATCGAACAGTAACATATATTTTTTTTTTGAAAAAAAATAATTTCTCCTAAACAAAAGAATATCACTGATTAAAATTTGGTGAGTATTGTTTTTTTATTAGGTACCCTAGTTAGGCATTAAATTCCTGCAAGCAATTCCTACAGGGGTGATAATATCTTTTTTTAGAGAAAAATGATATAAAACAAAAAAATCGATAGTTTTAAAATAACCAGTCGAATTACGAAAAAAGCCATCTAGAAGTTTTTCCGTAAAAAATACCGTTTCACAGTAAAATTGCATGGAATTTGATCCAATTCACTGTGATTAAATTTTACCATATGCTATCTAATTTTTTGTATCGAAGTTTGGGGTGAAGATTTTGAGCAACTCCTTATGAATTAAATTTAGGTTTAGTTTATGTAGTTTTATTTTTAATTGTTTTTTTCTGTTGTAAAATATTTTTTAGTGTAATTTTTAATTTGGTTTATTTCAAAATAAACGTTCTTGATATGCTGCTAAAAATTACTAAGAATTAATTTATTAAGTAAAATTTTACGTTTTACTCTTTTTTAAATCAACTGTTTATTTCAGAAATGTAAAAAAATTATTAGATTTTTGGCGTACTTTTTATTGTCTAAAAAGACCAAACTAGATGGCATATGGAAGATACATTTTACGAAAAAACTTCTGGTGGACTTTTTTTCTGAAACTGTTGAGTTTTGATAAGTAAGTTTATTAAGGAAATTACTATATTCTATTTTAACGTTTTCTATTCATTCTCAAATTATTAAAGGTCCCTTTGCACCAAAAAATAATTCAAAAAGTTGATTATAATTCATTTTATTATATTTTTCTTATAGGTAAATTATCTACAAACATTTTGACCCAGACACTATCAAAATTAAGCTCCTCATAAAGTCTAGAAATTGAGGATCCAAAGCGAAGGAGGCATTATCAAAACACACTGACGTTTGAAGAGTTCGGTTTTGATTTGAGGGAATCCTTTATCGGCCATGACCTCATCGCCGGGCTCGACTAAATTAATGAAACCAGAATCATTAACAATAAAACCATCCGTAGACCTGCCTCCATAACCTTTTGATATAAATGTTATCATTCCTGATGGACTTATTCCTATGAGATATTTTACTGTAAAAGAAGACTTGTAGGAAGAATACATCAATGCTCGTTGCTCCACAGTTGGTGGAGTGTCAACGCGAATTTCGGTGCAATCAATGATTACTCAACAATTTGGATATTTCTTAAAAGAAGGTGGCATAATTGCTTTAATTGCTTCTCTAGTAGGCCAAAATACCCATACCCATACTCACAAATAATGTTTCCAAAACATCGTCAAAAATTTTGGAGCCAGTTTTTCTAGAAACATGAAAAAAATTCCAGTTGCTGCAAAAGTTAAGCCAAGTTTCATTTTCATAGTTTTGCTTTAAGTTAAGTTTTAACTTATCATGTTGTAATCTTTTTCTGTTGTCATATTATGTTTATGTAGTCTTAAGTTTTGTTCACACATATATGTATATACAAAATATGCTTGAGGCCGCGCGCACTGCTATTGTCGCCGGCCCTGAAGGTCATGAATATTTGCGTTGAGTTTGCGTTTACTTTGTGTCGAGTGTAGCCCACGCTTTGTGGTGTATCCCTACCCCATGCTTAATGATTTAACTTAAATCTTAATAATTTAAAACCATACTAGGTCTTACGTAATTTACCATAGAATATATAACAATAGCCTAAAATATTATTAATATTGTAGGCTATCCAATTTTTAATAGTGTTTGTCTTGCGTTGTTTGCGTAGAGTTAATGTTGCATTTTAGTTTCTTATGAAAGTAAACTGTATCTATATTAAATGTAAGTAAGCTATTTAGAGCGCGTATATTCTATTGCCTTAGTACCGAGCCGCATTCATCATACACCTTCCGATTATTTATGGAAAATAGTTTCAGTTAAATGACAGCCGCGGCTAGCTTGGCAGTAGTCCATCCTCTTCACCCAATTTTGCAGTACATGTTCAAATGTTTGTGGCTCTATTTGACGAAAAGCTTGACAAATGTTTTCCTTCAGTTCGTCAATTGTTTGTGGATCGTTGGAGTAACAACGTTTCTTAACACATCTCCACAAAAATAGTCCAACGGCAAAAAATCGCAGCCGCGCGACATGAAAATATGAAAGTGAGCTTCGTCAAAAAGTTTTTGTTTTCGCTAATAAAATCGACGTCATTTTTAATCAGATTTAAAGCTAATACAAATAACGATAACGAAGCGGATGGTCATTTTCCTTCAACTCTTGAGCGAGTTGCACCAAATAATCAGAGGTCTTAATGCAAACAATCAGACATGTACTGCAAAATTGGGTGAAAAGGATGGACTACTGCCAAGCTAGCAGCGAACTGAAAACTAAAACTGTTTTTCATAAATAATCGGAAGGTGTTTTGGAAGTGTGTCTTGGATAAGGTAATAATCATTTTAAAATATTTAACGGTTTACTTTTAACAGCAATTTAAAAAAAACCATCATGTATATTGGATTTTTTTATTACCATTATTATTTCTTATTTCTAATATTTCTATGAAATTAACTAAAAATGATCACAAGTAAATTATTTAATTTTATGCAGAAAATCGGAAAATAATTGGTTAAAATAATTTATAGAAAGTGGAGAGTCTTTCAATTATGGCCGAATGGTTTATAGGAAATCAACAGTCGCGAAAAGCGCAAAAAAACGAGAACATCTAAATGATTTGGCATATCTCGAACTCAAACCTGACGACCCCTGTTTGCTTCGGTTACCCCCTGTTGATGATGTAAGTGCTTTTAATTGGGGCCTATATGAGGGGGTGGGGCTTAGCCAAGGCTTTATCAAAACTAATTTTCTTTTCATTTCGGAATTCCATAATAATATAGATAATTTCAATATTTTTTTTTAAATGGGGTTGGAACATTTTTTTTTTAATATATCTGGGAGAGGATTAAAAAATAATCAACCCGTATTTTTTCTTTTCTTGGTGAAGAGTGGTGAAATTGGTGAAGATACAGACGTTTTAAGTATGCTGTGACGTTATATATATATTAGAATGTTTTCCGACATCATGCTTATTAAATTGGCCATGTTATGCCTTGGATAAGAACTCTCCCCCAAATTAATAGGACATTTTCATATCAAATTATTTATTTTAGCAAAATATCCAATTAAATAATACAGGAAATAATTTGGTCGAATTGCCAAGACGCTCTTCCGAATTAAGTAACGCTTATTCTTCCGTTCTTAATTTATTACCAGACGAAATGCCCTCTGATCCGGAATTAAGTATTTAAGATATTTCCTATGATTTTGATTTATCGCCGAATGAAAACTCAAATCATGATGATACTAGCGAAAATGACCGTTTTGATAGTAATGATGAAATTATCAATAATTCTAGTGATGAAGACCGAAATGATAATAACGTTCGACCGTTTATGAGCTCTTCAGGAGAAAACCTTCAGGATCCATTTTTTGATCCGCACTTATTTAATCCCCGCTTAACGAATATGAATGTTTTACTACGCATTGTTGCCCATGCAATAAGACACAATCATACATTTGTGTCAATTATCAACAACCTACGCATATTTAAGTCGAAATCTCCTGTCAGTAACCTTCCTACAACAAAAGACGGACTTTGGAGTGCATTACGTAGGGATGATGCAATTGCTACTAGACATCTATATTGTCGACGATGTCTTGACAAAATAGGGGTTCAAGTCCAGGCGATGAAAAGAAAAAAAAAGTACTTTCTGACTTTGAGTTTGCGTGCACAACTGCAACAGCTTTTATCAATCCCTGGTATCGCAGATGCGTTACGATATCGTTTTACAAGAAAAAATACCCTGATGCAATGAAAGATGTATACGATTCTGAAGAATATCAATCATTTGTGAACCTGGCGAATTTCTTCATAATCCATACAATTTTTCGTATATAATCAATACTGACGGTGCACAGGTTTCCAAGTCATCAAATGCAAGTGCATGGCCCGTTTTTATTCAAATAAATGAATTACATTCTCACACTCGAAAAAAGCATATACACGGTGCTGTTCTGAGAGGTGATTTTCAGACTTTCTGTGAAACCTATTATTTTATATATTCCTATTAATTAGGTCATAACTAAGAATTTAAGAGCAAAATAAAAAAACTGACGGTTTGAATTGTTTTAATTGGCTGTTTATTAAAACTCTTTCAATTATCCAATTAAAACTAAAGATTTAATTTAAATATTTAATATTTGCATAACTAAAAAAAAAAGTTTTTACAATTTTTTTTATATATTTTACTGTTTTGTTGCAATAAACGTTCAAACTTTTAATCTAACCTTTGACGTATACATTTATGTTCCCTTAATTAATATATCCGGCCTCGGTGGTGTAGTGGTCAGAGCTCCTGGGTACGAGCCGAGAGGTCGTGGGTTCGAATCCCACTTGGGTATGGTTGTTTATTTGTGTTTGTCCATTGTGTATAGTCCTTCGGAGGGGACTTTAAGCCGTCGGTCCGTTCCTACCCCTAACCCGCACAAGCCATTCAGTTGGCTTATGGGACATCTTGGTTTGGATGTAAGGGTGGAACTAAAAGAGCACTTTATAACTTTATAACTTTAAAGGTTGCCATGAAACTTAGATCTATTAAAAATTTATTTGACGTTTGAATTGTCATTTTCAGTATACGTATTCTATAATTTTTGTTTAGTTTTTTAAAGTGTTTTTTATAAACAAAAATGAAAAATTGTAGTAAAAGTTACGAAGAAATTCATGAAAAAAATCGAAACTAACCGTCAAATTTTTTTTATTTTGCTCTTAAAATTTTAGTTATGACCTAATTAACAAGAATATAAAAAAATTAGGTTTCACAGAAAGTCCAAAAATCACCTCTCAGAACCGCACCGTGTATAATACTTGCCGCCATTTGGGTGGGATGTAAGCAACCAATACCTAATTTGTTTCTAACTTCATTTATGAATGATGCCAGAAATTTGCTTCAAGAAGGAATTGTTTGGAAGCCGGATGGTGCCAATGAGGTACCAAGTCGGTTTATTCCCACTGTGTTTTGCATGGTTTCAGTCGCCCGCTGCAAATATTTGAGAATGACCCAATTTAACGGTGCCTACGGCTGCACATTTTGTCTAGCCAATGGAAGACAAACTGCTGGTTCCCCACTGCAATTAAAATACACGATTGAATGTAATGGTGAATATCGCACTGATGCAGAAATGCGAGAACAAGCTGTAACTGCATATAACACAGGAGTTAGAGTAAAGGGAATAATTGGTCCTAATGTCTTAAGTTTGCTGCCGGGATTTGATTTGTCAAAAGGTGTAAATCCGGATAGCATGAACAACATTTACTTGGGCGTCATAAAACAACATTAGTTACTTTTGCTGTCAAGTTCAGGTCAACCTTGGTATATACATAGGTGGCCGGCAAAATTTAGGACTCATAAATAGGAATATTTTATCGGTAAAAATGCCAAATCGCATTTCAAGAAGAACAAGATCCCTTTATACGATAAAGGAATGGAAAGCGTCTGAGTTCAGAAACTTTATATATTATGGTCTTTCTTGTCTTGATGGGATTTTACCTTCTTGGTATTTGAAGCATTTGGCTCTTGTGTTTGATGCGGCTTATATATTAAATAAAAATTCCATTACTCATGATGAAATTGATGAAGCCAACTTAAAACTAATAAGATATTCTACATTATTTCAAGAACTCTTTGGAGAGGAAAATATGACCTATAATATTCTTTTGCTTAAACACCAAACCAGAGCAGTACGCAGTTGGGGACCGTTTTGGACAAACCCAGCTTTTCCTTTCTGAAAATAGGAAAATAATTAGATCCGTTAAAAGCGCCACTGGCGCGCCCTGGCAAGTCTTTACCAGAATTTTATTGGCTAAATTTATAGAGAACTGTTCTTATGATCCTGAAGTAAGTGTAGAAACCAGAGATATTATATGTAATTTATTAAATTTGAACCATACCAACTACCAATTAGATATTGAAGGTGTAGCAATAACTTCTTTTAAAGGGTTAAAAACGAACACAATTCGTGCCCCATCAGAGTTTGAAATAGAACAATTAGAAACCTTTGGGTTTCACTGTGAACTTCTCACATGTTTTCGAAGTGCCAGGTTTAGCAGTATCAAGTACCGATGTTTTGATGACAGACCTGAAACGAACTTTAATAATTCTACAATATTCTCCAATATAATTGGTTACGGCCAAATCATAAATATTGTGCAATTTTATTGAACAATGAGCCAGTGCAAGGAATGTTCGGTGCTATAAACATAAAAGATTGCTCTTTAGAACTTATTATATAAGTGAAGTATGCACAGAAAAAATGGGTTTCATAGAAAAAAAATATATCAATGGCCCAGCGTTCCTCATCAAGAGCAATGGCCGTATTCACGCCATCAAACTTCCAAACGTCTGGGAAGCGGATTAAATTTACAAGGACAGCTATTATATAAAGAGGTATAACTTAAGTTGATTTATTAGGACCGAAGAAAGTTCGTAAGAAAAATTCAAGGGCTAACATTTATTACCATTACAAATAAGAATCACAGTTCCTATAAACATTGGTATAATATACCATATACCTCGAAAATATATATTATATAATTATGTTTTGGAGATAATTGAGGCGATTAAAAGCAAAGGGGTGTAGGTGTAAAATGTATGTATGTTTAAACCGGCATTGGAGCATGCTGTGCGTTCCACGAAAAATTGTCAGTCGTAGGTATGTGATGCAATCCTGCAATTATGCAATATGCAAGTATAAAATTAACCCTAGCGCGATACCAATAAAGAGTTGGCTGTAACATAGAAATGTAGAATTGCATCCTATTCCAAATACTGCCATTTTTTTGTGGAACGCACTGTAAATTTAACGTTATTTAGTAAAAATCGTAAGAAATGTACTTGCACCCTTTAATTCTGGCCGCATTAATTAAATTCTGTATCTTGATAACTAAGCAAATGTCATAATTTAGTTAGTCTTAATAAATAATACATTTTTTATGTCTAGATTTATATTTTGTTGTAAATTAAATGACCTACAAAAATTAACTTTATACTGTATCAAACATACATTTTTTTAGGAACTTTTTTTTCAATATGATCCTGAATTTTTTCGTAAAAAATATATATATATATTTTTTTCGTAAAAAAATATATAAATATTTAAAGCCACAATATGTTTGTCTTTATAAATTATTATATATAAATTTTATATATTTTTTTTGTAGATTTAGTCATGATGTACTGCGCTGTTCATTTTGGAAAAAAATCGGAAATTGTAATTCTTCCTTTTCAAAATATATTATACCTTTGACAGAGGAAATCATCGACAAAAAAAGGGTCCCTTCGGACATTAAGGGCAGTGGACGATAATGGGCTAGCAACTGCTGTTACAATTATTGCCACCGCAGGTACCGTTAAATATATTTAAAAAAAACAAAAAAGGTATATAAATTAAAACTAAAATTTAATATTTATTTTTTTATTATAGATAATGAGACATCTCTTATAAAAAAATTTAATTGCGAAAAAAAATTAGCTCTTCACCATGGACTAAGGCAAAAAATATGACAAAAAACTTCATTGCCAAACAAGATAAAAAAGATGCTAAAAATCGTGATGTAAGTTTAAACCAGGGTACAGAAAAAACATGAGATGTGTCAAAAAAATGTTATAAAGTTAGCAGATGAAAATGTTTTAAAGGCAATAAAAAACTCCAAAGAAGACCTAAATAATAAAATATCTGTGGGTTTTGAATTATTAGTTTTAAGTGTATGAATTAATCATCACATAAACATTATTTTTTAGAAAAACAAAAAACGGTCAAAAGCCTTAAAGAAAGGTCAGCACCGCTCATAGAAGACGATGGTGGCAATTCTGCTGACAAGGTAACGTTTATAGATTTATAATTTGCGAGACAAACATTAGGTAAATATAGTAATATAGTTTACCATTAATTTATTACCACAACATGATATATTTCATAAATTGTTTTCCAGACTCCGAGTAATAAGTTTGGTGAAGGTGAATTAAAATTAAAGACAAATTCATTTGGGTCCCTTAGTAGTTAAACTAACATGAATTTTAGTTGATCTTTTTAAATAAGCCATTTAAAATAACATTATAGTACAACATTTCAAAAATAATGTTTTTTTACATAAAAATGATGCTATTTAGAAACGATTTAGGGCGTTTAATTCATGTTATATTAAAAACAATGATTTTTGCTCCATAGGGACTAAATGATGGTAATTAATTTAGTAATTAAAATTTATATTTGCAGGATTCCGATAATGAACTGGATATAACATCCCTTAGCCCGCAGTCAAAGAAATTCTTTAAACTAATGAAAATGGCTTCGGAGGAAGTTTTAAAACAATCATCGGATTTAAATCAACCTGCCTCTTTTATGACGACAAAAGATGAAAAGGTAAGTCTGACGAGAGTTCCTCAAACGGTTGCAACAAATTTAAAACTATAATTATATTTTTCATAGGCACAAATTATTGAAGAATTTGCAATAGATTATAAATATGTATCCAAAATTGCAAGGGCCAAAACTCAAAGGCATAGACTTAATACCCAGTTTTGGCCGCAGGATGTTATGAAGAAATTATTCCTAAGGAATAGTTAAGTTTTACCCCCTGATGCTCGAATTGTTACCAATGAAGAAATAAATACTCTTTAAGTGAGTAAACTATTTTGTTACAATATAATAACTAATAGTCTATTAAACACTGTGACACACTAAAGATGAAGATACCCATGTAATTTATTCATTTTTAGGTATTGCTTTAAATTTGTTTTTTTTTGTCTCCAGTACAAACTGGTAAAAATATTTAAAAACTTTTTAAATTAAAAAAAATCAAATAGTATTTTAAATAGTGTAACGGGTTTTTAGTGTTTAAACAGTAAATAAAAAATGAAAAATTGTTTTAAAATTAATTTATTCGAATTACTATTAGGCAACCAGGTTATCATGCCATTTATCTTTGTTGCGGACAATTATTACATGCAGTTAGGTATTGTAAACACGACTTGGTTTGTTATTGTGGCATGGTAAACACGGCTTGGAGGTTATAAACAATGTTTATTTTCATATTTATTAGAAATATCCAAAGTATATTAAATGAACCGTTTTGGGAACCTCTGTTGAGCTGCAAAACACAGGAAAAAGCTATTAAGTATCATATTTAAGTAATTAATTATTAAAGTTAACTTACCATATTTAAGTTTTTTATAAATATTGGTCGGCCAATTAGATTTGATTAAGGGATTTTTGACAGAACTTCCGGTCAAGGAGGCCATTGTGATTTTTGGGTCGAAGCTTTTGGTAGCGTTGAAAGGGAGAACCGAATAATATGCTTTAGTTTCGACCATCGTTTAATAAAATTAACTAAATAAATCACCATTAATACTTTAAGGCCACCTGACATCTAAGGTAAATTATATTTTTGTTATTATAACAGATTTTCCTGTGTTTTCGAAAACATGCTTAGTGATATTTCTCTTTTAGGCCTTCTTTACTTTCTGTTTGTATTATACATTGTTTAGCAAGCCTAGTTGGGCATACATCTATCTATCATAGAACGTTATCGCTAAAACAGAAATAATCAATATTATTGGAGACCAAATTTGAGGTTACAAGGGTCATTTGTGAAGAAATACCTACCAAGTTGTGTCCTGCTGCACCGTGTCCTGCTGCACTGTGTCCTACTAAGTCGTGTCCTGCTGCACTGTGTCCTGCTACGTTGTTTCCTGCTTTGCTGTGTCTGTTCGTGTGACCAGAGTTGTTGCTGTTGTCATATTTATGTGAACGAAGCCCACCCAAGGCATTTGAACATTATCCATTCCTGTTTGGCTGGAACAAGAAATTTAGTCAACACAAGTCAATCAACACCAGGTTTAGAATTTACAACATTTTACTTACTGTAAACCAATCACGTGAAAGGTATTTATTTTATTTTTTTATATACTTCTTTTTCTTTGGTGTTGACAACACTTGTTTATATTATTACAATTGGGTAATTTTACTGCAGCAAACAGGTTAAATGATGAACTTAATTGTTTTCTATTGAAAATAAAGAGTATAGAGTTTTGTAAAACTAAATTCATTAATTTTTTTGTTGCTAAAAGAAACACTTTCCCACTTACCCCTCCTACCCTTGTCAAAAGGTTACTTTTGGCTGGCGCCCATTTTTATTACCATCTGTACCCTCACCCGCTCCCGATAAAGAGAGCTGCCGCGTATGTGAGCGAAAGTAAGTATTTTTATTGCTACTTAAAATTGAACTTCGCCATATAAATGTGGAGCCCAACGTGTGGGGCCTAGTTTGTTGTTTTTTTATTTCTTTTTTCTTTGTCGGAGTTGGGTATCAGCCGGGTTAATCCTAAAATCTTTCCTTTACCTATGTTTTCTTTTAGCAGGAAAAAAATAATTAACTACGGGAGCAATTACAAAGTATAATTCTATACCAGGAATTAACGTACAATTTGTTGAGACATTTATAATAGATAAGGGGTGATAACCTGGTCTGCCAAAAGTTTACTGTGCACAGTGGGACAGTTATAATTTTTATTTTCGCACAGTGCCTAAGTAATTAGAATATTTTTTTTGTATTTTGAGATTCACTTGTTTTTGTATTTTTGACCATTCGCTGTGGTTGTTTGCACTTTATTACACTTGCTTAGAGAACATATAACTTTGTAATTTATAATTTTCATAATGGATACCAATTATTTGTCGGAACATGAACTTAACTATGAGTTAGTTTTACGTGGTTTATCTACTAAATCAGGTATTGAGATTAAAAGGAAGGCTCTTAAACAACAATTGATTAATGACACTAAATTAAACTCAGTTTATGAAAATAAATCACGGGATTATAAAACTGAGAAAGCTGAATTAGAGTTAAGTGTTATCGATTTAAAAAAAAATATGGGTGATCTTCACAAGGCGCTTTATGAGGGTGAAACATTTAATTGCATTAGAACTAAAATTTGTCATATTAGAGGACGGCTAGAAGGGTTTATTATAAAGGAGGGAGATGAAGCTGAACAAATAGAAGAGTTTACAAACTATAAGGATGAACTTAAGATACAGCTATTGTATTATGAATGTGAGTTAAACGAAAAATGTGAAGAAACTAGAAGAAGTGCTTTATTTGAAAGTACCAGGACATCCACGACCATGGATAACTCTACCTCCACAAATACAATAAGTAAACAGATTCCAGTGTTCAAATGGAATATCACATTTGATGGTTCTACAAAGAATCATTCTTTAGGGTCCTTTTTAGAGCGGATTGAGGAGTTAAGAATATCGAGAAATTTAACAAAGTCAGATTTATATAATTCAGCGGTCGATTTGTTTACTGGGTCTGCCCTTATTTGGTTCAGGTCAATTCGTGGAGGTGTTAGAGACTGGGATTCATTGGTTGAAGCATTAAAAAGAGACTTTTTGCCCACCGAATATGACGACGCACTGTGGGACGAAATTCGTTCAAGAACCCAAGGTCATAATGAAAAAGTTTCTATTTTCATAGCTGTATTGGAAAATTTATTCTCCAGACTGAGTGACCCTCCCAGGGAAGAAATAAAGATGAAACAAATTAAGAAGAATTTGTTACCCCAGTTTGCACCTTTCTTGGCCTTGATGGAATTCGATTCGATAGATGCCCTAAAGAGAGTTTGTCGTTCAATTGAAGACGCCCATCTTAGTCAGAACAAGTATCAACCACCTCCTCAAAAGAATGAAAATATTCTTGAACCTGACCTAGCCTATAGAATTTCAGCACCTCCTGCAAAAACCTATCGAAATACAAACCATCAAGTCAACGTCGCCGCATTCAAATGTTGGAATTGTGACGAAGAAGGACATTCGAAAATTCAATGTTCCAAACCTTTTGTTTTAAAATGCTATGGCTGCGGTAAGTTGGGTATAAGAAGACCAGATTGCGACGTTTGTAGAAATAAACCTTTCAAGCCCTCCGCAAAAAACTAACATCTAGGAGACGTATTGGCCATCGTTCTTCTACTTTGGTAAAGGCCAAAACAAAATTTTGTATGAAAGATTGGTGTGACTGGCTAGGTTATGTTAAAAAATTTTATGAAAATAAAGTTGAAATTTCCCCGTCCTTTGTAAAAATAAATTGTGATGATCGGCCTTATATTAAAATTTCAATTTGTGATGTCTCATTGGTTGCCCTGGTAGATAGTGGAGCGAATAGGTGTATAATTGGTAAGCATTGTTTATATTTGGTAGATAAGTTTGATCTTTCGGTTGATGTTGCTGCTGGCGCGACATTAACGACTGCTGATGGTCAGCAGCAAAATATTGTAGGATTGGTTAGGGTCCCAATTACAGTAGATGGTGTTGGTAAATATTGTAATTTTTTTGTCGTACCTTCGCTTCAACACGGCATTATTTTAGGCAGTGACTTCTTTCGTTTATTTTCCCTTAAGTTGGATTTTCAAAAAAATACATGGTCTATCGGAAAGGGAGAGCATTGTTTAGGTTATTCAATTTCAACTTTGTCAGGAACAGATGGTGTCAGTGTGATACATAGTAAAGATGACCTAGATGCATCACAAAAGAGACAACTCGACACATTAGTTTGTCGTTTTCAAGGACTAAATAAAAAGCAATTGGGCTGTACCAGTGTCATTTCTCATAAAATCGATACAGGTGATGCGGAGCCGATCAAACAACGTCATCATGTTATGTCTCCGTACATGCTCGAACATTTATATAGGGAATTGGACAGTTTTTTAGATTTAGGTATTGTTAGACCTTCAACGAGCCCTTGGGCTAGTCCTGTACTTCTTGTGAAAAAGAGTAGTGGAGAGTATCGTTTTTGTTTTGATGGGAGACGGCTTAATTCAGTTACCAAAAAATGTGCCTATCCCTTACCCTTAGTCGATCACATTTTGAACAAGTTAGCGGGTTCGCAATTCTTAAGTAGTATAGACTTAAGACAAGCATTTTTACAGATACCTTTGGAACCGTCCTCCTATGAAAAGACTGCTTTTGTTGTGACTTTTCGAATTTATACGCATGCCGTTTGGTTTGTGTAACGCGGCTCAAACGCAGCAAAAGTTAATGGACACTATTCTTGGTCACGATTTGGATCCCTATGTATTTGTTTACTTAGACGACATCATCGTAGCTACCCCCACTTTCGATAAGCATCTTGAGATTCTCAATATCGTATTTGACCGTTTAAGTTCTGCCAATTTGACAATTAACTTAGGGAAATGTGAATTTTGCAAGCCCTCTTTAAAGTACCTTGGGTTTATCGTTGATAAGGAAGGATTGAGAACCAACCCTGAAAAAGTTCGGGCAATGCTGGAGTTCCCAAAGCCCAATACTGCAACGGAGATCAAAAGATTTCTGGGCATGTGCGGATGGTACCGCAGATTTCTTAAGAATTTCTCCTCATTGACTGCCCCTCTCACATCCTTAATTAAAGGAAAGAAGAAATCTCAAAGAATCGAATGGAATTTGGAGGCCGATAAGTCTTTTGAGTCGATCAAAGAATCTCTTATTTCTGCTCCAGTGTTGGCCACCCCGGATTTTTCCAAGCCCTTCACTATCCAATCCGATGCTAGTATGGTTGGATTGGGTGCCGTGTT